ATTGGTGGTTAAGATTGGTGTCAATTCTGGAGGCCTGCAAAGCATGGATTTGTTTTGTGTTAATCTGGACTTTGGGAAGCATTTAGTCAGATTCATTTGCAAATGAGTTATAATTCATTTTTGGTTCTATTCTGGCATTGTGGTGTTCATTGTTAAGATCTTCTGCCCTACACGTCACCCACTCGCTATGTGATTAATCCTTTTCTTCCTTTTTTTTTTTTTACCTCTGAACTCAGGAAACCTCAGCTCTTGGCTTTTCTGTATTTTTCCCACACCCCCCGTACACACTCATACACACAGACGTACCTTTAAAAAAAAAAACATATACTTTTCTTATCTGATTCCTCATTTGTGATACCCATAAATATATAAATATTGATAAATCTTCCATGAAACACATACACAGTTCAGAAAGTCTCTCCGATATACCTGCTTTTTCAGAATGCTTTGTGTGCACTCCTGAGCTGTTGTAGGAGCTTTGTACTTTGCTAGGTAGGGAGTTCTTTAGGGCAACTTGTAATTATTAGAAATGTTTTCTCTTGATTAAACCAAAATATTTTACCAATTGTACTTTTTTTTTTTTTTTTTTTTTTTTTTTTTTTTTTTTTTTTTTTTTTTTTTTTTTTTTTTTTTTTTTTTTTTTATCTAATTTTTTCTTTTTTTTTTTTTTTTTTTTTTTTTTTTTTTTTTTTTTGAGACGGAGTTTCGCTCTTGTTACCCAGGCTGGAGTGCAATGGCGCGATCTCGGCTCACCGCAACCTCCGCCTCCTGGGTTCAGGCAATTCTCCTGCCTCAGCCTCCTGAGTCGCTGAGATTACAGGCACGCGCCACCATGCCCAGCTAATTTTTTGTATTTTTAGTAGAGGCGGGGTTTCACCATGTTGACCAGGATGGTCTCGATCTCTTGACCTCGTGATCCACCCGCCTCGGCCTCCCACAGTGCTGGGATTACAGGCTTGAGCCACCGCGCCCGGCCTCCAATTGTACTTCTTAAGTGGGTTTTGTTAAACACTTGAAGACCACTGGTCTGTTAACTTTTGGATGTAGATCAAACATCATCCTCACTTCTTTAAACCATTCTACACGTAACGTGATTTTGAATTCTTTCTTAGTCTTAATTCTCCTTTACAAATATTTTGACTTGACATTGCCTTTCTTAAAATATGAAGCTTACACTTGAATATAATAATCCACATATCAGATAATCTCTTTTATTAAAACTTGTTACTAATGCTTGTATTTCCCTTATGTTTGCAGACTTTTATAAAAATATCCTGTAGGGTAGTTATCTGCATTTTATAAATGAGAAACAGAGTGATTATCATATGTGATTTGCCTAAGGTCATACAACTGCTAATTTAGACATTGCACATCTATTTATATAGTCTTAATGTTACTTTTTTAGACATTCCATTGACCTAGTTGCCATACCAAGTATCATAAGCCTGTTAAGCAAAATCACTAGACCTTTTTCCATACACCTAATGGTTAGTTAGATCTTTTCCATTCTGTCCTTTCCAAATGCATTTTTAAAAATCTAATGTATATCTGTTAAATTGTGTGTGTTGGGATTTGGTATGATTAGAATGTATCTTGTTTGTATATCCCCATCTTATAAGTTTGTCTTATGAAAGAACTATGCGGTTATGAAGTGGTAGATGCATGTTATTAATAACACTATTAATAACATTTGTCAAAGAATGGAAGAATTTTAAGAATAGTTGTAGTTTCCGCTATTCTGTCATCTGTAGAATTGGCTTTCCGTTTGCATATGTAAATGAACTTTATGGGTTTTGTTAAGTATAATAAAAAGCATGGAGTCAAATATAAGCCAAGAGTATTATAGAGTTAATATAGGCTGACTCAGTATCTCAGGTTCTGTGTAGATTGATCTAAACACTGCTGTTATCCATCTATACTTTACCATGTTATCCCAAAAGGGAACCATCAGCAAATTTTACCAGAAACTGCTGAATTCAAGATATAGTCAAGATATATTATACTTCTGACATCCTAGGAAGCCTATCCAAAGAATAAATTACTTTGATAGAATTTGTTCTTTATGAAAATTCATATTGACTCTCATTGATAACTTTATTCCATTTTTGGGGAGGATTGACAAGTCAGTGGGATGGAAACAGAGCTAGCTACAAAGTCTTTGAGTTTAGATGGGCAGCAGAAGGGGAAAGGAAGTGGGTGGTGGGATATACGAGGACTTTTCCAGTGGAAAACAATGTCAGTGAAACCTATCTCCATGACTACTTGTTCAATTTCAGAATTAAGCTTCCTGTATATTTTAGGTGGAATGGAGCTGAGTTCTAGTCAAAATCCTAAACATTATTTCCCATGAAAAATACGCCCAAACACAGGCAGACAGACAGTGATTGATAAACCTGTCATATTCATTTCTAAATAAATGAACAAGCCCCAAATCTGTTTTAGACTTTTCTCAACTAATTCTAAGCATGTTGCTTCTAGAGTCTGCCATTTTCTTCATTTCTGGCACTTTTCTAACAGTGGTTTTGTTATCTCACCTGTGAGGATTAAGAACCTGGGATAAAACTCATTTTCAATCTAAAGATTTAAACTCATTTGAATTGAGTAGATGCTTTTGTGATGTCTTTGCATCTCTCCTGACTTAACAGTTCCCTCCTTCACATCACTTAATCTGTCCTTTTGGTTAGAAGATCATGCTCTTACCTAAAGATGGAAGGAGGCAAAATGAACATGGAACTAAATTGCCCTGCCTTTTCTCATGGCTTAATGTGGCAATAAGCTGAGCAGTGGCCTTTCCTAATATTCCCCTTATTCCAAACATAGCTTTGTCTTGCTTTCAGCATTTTTTACTTTCCTCAGATCATATGGATTCTGACTTTAATCCGTTAAGAATTATACTTTTGTGTGTGTGTGTGTGTGTGTGTGTGAGACTTTTTTTTTTTTTTTTTGAGTCAGAGACTCGCTCTATCGCCATGCTGGAATGCAGTGGCACGATCCCAGCTCACTGCAACTTCCGTTTTCTGGTTTCAAGCAATTCTCCTGCCTCAGCCTCCAGAGTAGCTGGGACTACAGGCACGCCCCACGATGCCCGGCTAACTTTCTTTTGTATTTTTAATACAGACAGGGTTTTACCATGTTGGCCAGGATGGTCTTGATCTCTTGACCTCGTGCTCCTCCTGCCTTGGCCTCCCAAAGTGCTGGGATTACAGGAGTGAGCCATGGCGCACAACCCCAGAATTAAACTTTTATATAAAAGTAGGTTATATACTTGTACCTATCTTTTCTAAGCTTTCTTTTCAAATCTAATCCCATCAGATTCTCCTTAACAACTGACTTTAGATTTCCTCTAATTTTCTTTTCCTTATAGAATTACTTATTGCATTGTCAAAATGTCATGTTTTAGCATCTTCTGTGGCCTGCGAATCACTGCTCCCTATAATCACGGGACCACTCCCACCCATCTTTTTTCTGATATTTTCTGGATAGTTGGTTTCTTTAAAAACCTGGAAGCAGGCCGGGTGCGGTGGCTTAACTCCTGTAATCCCAGCACTTTGGAGACAGAAGTGGGCAGATCACGAGGTCAGGAGTTCGAGACCAGCCTGACCAACACGGTGAAATCCTGTCTCTACTAAAAATGCAAAAATTAGCCTGGTGTGGTGGCACTCACCTGTAATCCCAGGTACTCAGAAGGCTGAGGCAGGAGAATCACTTGAACCTGGGAGGCAGAGGTTGCAGTGAGCCGAGAACACACCATTGCACTCCAGCCTGGGCCGCAGAGCAAGATTCCATTTCAAAAAATAAATAAATAAATACCTGGAAGCAAATTTTCAGGGTTATGCATTTAGAAAACATAAAGTGCCTACTGAAGTTTAGGCCCAGGCATTGTTTACTACATATAAATGATCAAATCAAGGACCTTTTCCTAGAGGAGCTCAAAGTCTAGTTGTAAAAAGAACATGTAAACAAATTATTGCAGTACACTGTGGTATTTGCAAAATAGCCAGGATACCTGCCATCTAAGAACTCGAGTATAGTTACTCTCATTTCTTGCTTCTGTAAATCCTAAAATTATGTCACATCCTCCTAAGGTTTCTGTTATTTTTCCAGTAGCCAACCAGTTCTTCTTTGATCAGAATTAAGTCCAGAATAAAAGTTCTCCTCCTTATTTTCACCTTGGAAAAGAGAGAGAATCAGCAACGAATATTTTATCAGGTTTATTTTCTTCTAGTAGATTTAGACCTCAAAGATGTTAGGGCGGTTGACACCCTCCATGTCTCTGGAATTTTGTCATTTGTTTTGGGGAAGTCATGTTGGGTGAATATTCTGGTGATCTGTGTATCCTCTCCTTATTTTACGTTCCCTTGACCACCTTTGGATCTCCACACAGGACTTTGTTCGCCGTCACTGCTCAGTTTTGTGCTCATTTAAATGCTTCCCTCCAGGTTCTTCTTTGACATTTTACAGATCTTTTATATGGGTCATTTTTGTCCCTTGCCTTCATTTAGTGTTGGTTACATACTCTGTTTCGGGTCTCACCTGATCCAGTCTGTGATGCTACAAAGGGTGTATGTATCTGATTCTTCTTCAAAACAGATTTATAGATCCTTATAGGAGCATTCTAGAAGAGAATAATACACATTATGCAAAACAAAACACATCTACATGTATTCTGAAATGTTCCCACTGTATTTTTCTATTCGCTGCCTGTCTGCCTGTGGCCTGTGCATCCCTGTGTTCTCCATGGGATACCCTTTCCCTCTTCCATATCAGCTTCTTTTCCTCTGATGTTTTTCTTTTTTTTTTTTTTGAGATGAAGTCTCACTCTGTAGCCCAGGCTGGAGTGCAGTGGTACAATCTTGGCTCACTGCAACCTCCACCTCTCCAGTCCCAGTTCAAGCAATTCTCCTGCCTCAGCCTCCACAGCAGCTGGGATTACAGGCACACGCCATCATGCTCAGCTAATTTTTCTTTTTTTTTAATTTTTAAATATTTTTCTTAGAGACAGGGTTTCACCATGTTGGCCAGGCTGATCTTAAATTCCTAACCTCGTGATCTGCCCACCTCAGCCTCCCAAAGATTACAGGCGTGAGGCACAGTGCCAGGCCTTGTTTGATGTTTTCAGATTCACACTTTATCTTACATGTAGAATGGCCGAATTACTTACTTCTTTATGTTCTACAGGTCTTTGTTCATACTAGAATAGCATTTATTATCCCAAGTTGTAGTTTAAACACATTTGCCCTTCCTTTCTATTAGCCCATGAGTCCTGCCCAGGACATGGACTGTTTGATAGCATGCTTGATGGCAAGAACAAATGCTTTGGAGTCAGACTGATTTTAATTGCTGACTGCAACACTTTAGTCTGTAACCTGGGGCAAATTCTTTAAACTGCCAGTACCTACTCAGCCTTTTCATTTGTAAAATGAAGCTACTACCTAACCTCACTGGATTGTTGATACTAAAGTAGTTGATTACATAAAGTGCATCGTGAGTGAAGGAATAGTGGCTGGGGTAGAATAAGGGATAGAATACATCTTAAAGAATTTTGTTTAATGTCCTGTACACATAATAGAATATTTGTTTTTAATAAAACATTCCTTCTTTAAACAAATTTGATGCATTGGACCTTTAAAAAGTATATTTGCTTGTGTTTTGGCATCTGAAATGCTATTAAAAACATAACATCTTAGTGGCTCATTTCCTTCAGTTTACATGCAGAGAAGCCTCTTGGACCCCAAAACTTACTCCTCCTGCATTCAGAAAGCTTTGCATCTTTTTGGAGAGAACCATCTGTTCACAGCATTATATAGCTATGAATTAAATAGATTTTGTTGGGGAAAGTCACTTTCCAGCTCTTCTCAAGTCGGACCCTCTGGCCACCAGATATCTCAATGCATGTAAAATTTCTAAGACACTGAGCTACATGCTGAAGAATGTACAGGATGTCCCCATCAGGCTTTTCAGCAGAGTTGAGAGGTGAAGTATGAATACACGTAAGTGTGGACAGTAACTTCAGTGGATGGCTGTGCTGCCAAATGAGTGATTCAAACCATAAGTGCTGTCAGGTGGAAGAGACTTTGACTTTTGGAAGATTGAATAAAAACTAACTGAAGAGAACAAAAAAGCATTCTAGATAAGGAGAACGGAGGGAGTAAAGTGTAGAAAGCACAAATTATATGTAGCAAATCTGGATTTTTCTGTTTGTGTCATTTCTACTTCCTTCTAGTATAAACAAAGTTTGACTTTTTTGTTGCTGTTTTGGCTGTTACTTTGTTCAGGTTCTTTGTTTCTGCTCAGAACTCTTTTTGCATTTTGTTTCTTAAGATTTTTCCACTTAATCCAAACTCTACTTTCAGATTTATTAAACCCTGAAGATTTTGTCTGTGATCTAGTGCAGTATTGGTCTGTCTTGCTTTATAATAAACATAGTTCTAGAAATTTGAGTGTAAACTTTAACTAGAACAACATTTTTCATAAACTGATTTTATAATGTCTGTCTATAACAATTCATTTACTCAGAAGTCATTTTTTCTGCATATTTTAGTTATTAAATTGGAATGATTTTTGTGACTGCCCTGAAGTGCAGCTCACCTATATTATGAAGGCTTTCTTTTAAATTTCAATATGACAAATTTTGTCTGCTCTTTAAAGTTTAGTTCAGCATAAATCATTTGTATTTGAGTCACTTAGAGATTCGTTGTTGAGGTTTGAGGAAGTTTAGACTTTGTTCAAATTAAATACTGATGGAGATGCACTCCATCCCAAAACTGGTAAGAGATCATGTATAAGAGGGAGGGGTGGGGGCAGGAGTTATGACAGGTTGTAGGCCAGGCACGGTGGTTCACACCTGTAATTCCAGCACTTGGGGAGGCCAAGGCGGGTGGATCATGAGGTTAGGAGTTCGAGACCAGCCTGGCCAATATACTGACACCCTGTCTCTACTAAAAATACAAAAATTAGTTGGACGTGGTGGCGCGTGCCTGTAGTCCCACCTACTCAGGAGGCTAAGGCAGGAGAATCACTTGAATCGGGAGACGGAGGTTGAAGTGACCTGAGATTGAAACACTGCACTCCAGCCTGGGCGACAGAGCGAGACTCTGTCTCAAAAAAAAAAAAAGAAAGACAGTTTGTTCCCTATGTTCTTCTAAAAATGCACAAAAATTTGAAAGTCTAACTGGCAAAGAGCGGATCATAGTAGGAACCAGGTTTCTGATGGGTAGCCACTTGCACCAAGAAAAATTTGTTTAGCCTAGCCCCTGGCACCTGTGATTTTGAAATGTAAAGGATAACAGTGAAGATGGAAGGTGAAAGCTTTTTAGAAAAACAAAATCAGATTGCATTGAGCCTTTTGGTGATAACCATTAAATATGGCTCAAAATGTGTATTTTGTGACTGGGTCTCTCAGTGACTACTTCCCCAGAGGGGAGAATTTATTGTTTAATGAAAAGACCTTGAGGAAGGGGTACCAAAAATAAGATAGAGGCAAGAATTCCAAGAAGGCACAATATCCTGATTTGGTAGCAGAAAAATATATTTGTGGAAACAAGTATACTGGAATTGTTTTGGGCTTGTTTTAAATGTATTTTATCTCACTATGTTGTCATTATACAGAAGTCTTCTATGTCTTTACCCTTTTAGCAGCAGATCTTATTTTTCAAATTAAGTCTTACATGGTACCCTAATACGTAAAATACATGAAATCAAGATGGGAAGGAAGGGTGCCTTGTGCTGGTGCCCCACCCCCTCAACTTCCTCCATTGTTTTCAGGTGAAGCTTGTATACCAGCTGGAAAAACTCACTGGCTTGTTGCCAGTGACAGGTTACTGTGTGGAGCAGGTTTGCCCACATTTTGCTATTTATAGTTTTACATTTCATAATAATTAACATATCGCAGTTAACCTGGAGAACAGAAAGGAAAGATACCCACTCTGGATGCTGTTAATGCCAACTGTGTGTGCTTGCCTAAGCAGTGTTTTGTGAAAGGTCAGAAGTCCGAATTCATTCTAAAATATAGTCATTGTTTCAGTGCCTTTCTGTGTACTTCCTAGTAAACAGTTGGACTAGTACAGTGTTATGTAGAAATACTAAAGATAGTTTCAACCTGTTGTGAGATTTTCAGGTTTGGTGTGGGAGGAGGGGGAGAGCTATGTAGTAACTAAAATGGCAACTCCACAAATGCTACTGTTCTTCACCCACCAGCATGTTCCCACACGTGTCCCAACTGGCCTGCCTTTTTCCTGAACTTCTATAGCGTATTTTAATCATGTACCACTCTGGGCATTTCTTCTGTTGCTTTTTCAGATGTAGTTCTTGAACTTTTCATGTATTTTCATCGTCCCACTGTCTAGACGTTTAGCCCCTTGAAAATAGAGGTCATGGTTTGACTGCTTTTGTGTTCCATGCACACTGTAGGCACTCAGTAAAGAGCTGCCTTGGTTTTTTGCTTGGCGGTCTTAATAGACGCATTTTATACTGAGGTTTTAAACTGTCGTCATTGCTAAAAACTAGATTTGTCAACTTGTTTAGTACCTCATCATCGGCTTACTGTGGATTCTGCTACCTTGACCAACAAGGTAGCAGAGTTTTAACTATAATTTCTTCTTTAATAAGACGTTTTCTGAGGCAGGTAAACTGGAAGTATATTGATACTTCTTATACAGTAGAATATGAAAGTGTGGCACGTGGCATCTTGAAAGTACTTTAAATTGTGTACCTTTGAGTTCTACACTGAAAAATAAAACGGCTACAAACAACTTGACACCCTTTCCTGCCCTCAAATTGTTTAGAACTGAAAATAGTGTTTCGTTGTACATATTTGTATGCCATAAAGTAAAATTTTTTTAACATCAGGAAACATCTAAATATATTACCAGTTCTTTAAGAATAAACCCCCCTTCCCTTATGTATTATACTATTACTAATTACTTTTTAAAAAATTAGTATTTTTTTAATATAAAATATTTGGCAACTTGATTTTTATTATACTTTGGTTGCTCTTTTCACATCTTACAGTTTAAAGTACTTTCTGATATCTTGTCTTTGCAATGTTTTAGTGATGAGAAGACCCATTGATTAGACTGACTACACAGTACCTCTGAGAATGATGGGTATTATCTCTAAGTTCCTAAAAGGAGACTTGTGCACAGGGCTAGTTCCTGGCAGTAAGAAACACCCTGCCTTAGCTTTTTGGAAAGTTTACTGTCCGTTCCATATTGACCACTAGTGGAGCATTTGTTGTTAGGCATTTAGCAGGTAATAAATGTGCTCCAAATTGCTTTTCCTTCTCTTATTTTTATCCTTATGAGACAGTAAGGCCATTGTTATTTCTCCTTATGAATTAGGGGTCCTGGGATATACGTGCCTAAATTATATTGACAGCCAGTTGTGCAGCTGCCTTACACAACCTATCTACAATGTTTTTTCAGTGAGACCTACTGACTTATACACATTGAATTGTACTCCAGTGTGAAGTCCTGTATAAATAAAAGAAAATGAACTTGCATCAAGTTGAGTCAATGGTACTGGTACTATTTGAAAGGAAAATGTGTATTCAAGTGAGATCATTTAGAGCCCTAGAAGCAGAAGAATTGGTTTCCTTTGTGTCATTGGTTCTGGTGCAATTTTGCTTCCCTAGAAGACATTTGAAATGTCTAAAGACAATTTCAGCTGTCAAAGCTGGGGAGTCGGTGCTCCTAGCATCTAGTGGGTAGAGGCCAGCAATGCTGCTAAACCTCCCACAGTGCTTAGGACGGCAGTCCACTACAGAGAATTATGTAGTTCAAACTGTAAGTAGTGATGAGGTTGATAAAACCTGCTGTGTGTGTTTCAAAGCATGGAATTGCCAGAAGCCCTTTTTGCCAAGACAAATTTGGGTCATTGGAAGGGAATGGGGAGTCAAGGAGGTGACTTCAGATATGGGTGGACTGAGATGAGCTATTTTGATGGGGTTAGGATTAAGCTGATTTCTTTTCTCTCACCTTTTCTTTGTGCCAACTCTTGGCATAGCAATAGTGAAGAAAACAGTGAAATAAACTCCTTTTCTTCTGAGCTAGATGGAATATGGTCCTAGTCCAAGAGCTAAAAGCATCACTCTACTTCCCTATAACACTTGCAGCTTTGCTGTAAGCCACACACCCATGCTGTCAGGCTCCCAAAATGTCAAGGCACAGGATTTTTTGAGGGGAGGAGAGGTGTCAAGATTGTTGCATTATAAACTGGCTAATTTATTTCCCAAGGCATCCTGTAATCATAGTGCACCTGGGAGGATCTACGTTTCTCACTGTCTCTGCATCATGTGCCATATGTGAATTTCTTTGGCTAACATACTCTTGCTTGATTTGATTAGTCTGCAATTACAGGAACAAATGTCCCTTAAAAAACTTTTTTTAGAGTAGTTTTAGGTTCACAGCAAAACTGAGTGGGAAGTACAGAGAGTTCTCATATAACCCTTCTGCCTTTGTTTTGTGACTTTATTACTAATTTTCAAATAAACTTTATATGAATGCAGGTGTTATTCTGTTAGTGCAAAATTAAATGTTCCTCAATAATTGCTCACTAACTGGTAAAGCAAAAGGTAGGGGCAATTTACCAGTTTCTGAGTTGTGGGAAATTTCTCTTTCCCTATTCAGTAGAAGAGGGAGGATCATAATTTACATGGACTTCTTAGGGACTTTAGCCACTCGGTATAAGAGCATTTATCTTACTGAAAATCTTCCCATGTAGTTAGTTATACATCATATTTTTATTTCTGGGGGATTTTATTTTTCTCCTAGGAAGTTTCTCATTTTGTTTTTGCTAATTGGAAACCATTTTAAGTTATTCAGCCTGAAAGTTTGACTGCTTTGAGCGTTAGAACGTACCATAGCCGTACACCTTCCTGTAACTGAGAGTGTTCTAGGATTTAAATTTGTGATCTTGTTTATGTCTCATGTAGTTAGGTAGCCAGGGGGAAACTCATGATTGTATTCTCGATTAGAATTTTTTCTCCTGGCCACAAAGTCCAGTTTCTTCCTTCAGCCACAATTATCTCTCTACTAATCATGGCCAGTGGACATAACTGAAATGCTTCTGCGTTTCTCCTTTCAATCATGGGTCTTCCCCTGGGCTTTCCCTTTAATATTTGACCCTTTAAAAATTAATAGTCTGAAGCCAGGCACGGTGACTCACGCCTGTAATCCCAGCACTTTGGGAGGCTGAGGCGGGTGGATCACCCAAGGTCAGGAGTTCAAGACCAGCCTGACCAACATGGTGAAACCGTTTCTACTTAATAAATACAGAAATCAGCTGGGCGTGCACCCATAGTCCCAGCTACTCGGGAGGCTGAGGCAGGAGAATCGCTTGAACCCAGGAGGTGGAGATTGCAGTGAGCCGAGATCGCGCCACTGTACTCCAGCCTGGTGACAGAGCAAGACTTTGTCTCAAAAAAAAAAAAAAAAAAATTAATTAATAGTCTATATAGAGTAGATCAAGAAAGAATAAGCTTGCTTGCTTTTTTTTTTTTTTTTGACAGATTGGGTCCAGTTTCAAGTTCTCAATAACAAGTTTTGTGAACTTGGGCAAATTATTCCTGAATCTGTTTCTTTATTTATTTAACGCAGATTATTCATCCTCCTCTGCCTACCTCACAGGGCTGCTATGAAGATCAAATGAAATAATTATCAGAGTGCCTTGTAAACCATATAAACAATGCAAATGTAAAATAGTCTGCAAATATAAGAAATGTGAGGTTTAGTAAATTACATCAATTATGAAATGAAAGTAGGCTTGGGGAATTTATTTCCCCTTCTGTTGTCTTGTTTTGTGTAGCATAGAGTGCTTTTTCTTCATCTTAGTAAGTTCAGAGATGACTTTTGTTCAGTTTAGCTGTAGTTTTTTGTCTTTTTGTAAATAAGGCCAATGGAGTTAAATGCTTCACTTGTTGAAACATGATATAATTTGGCATAGATCATTGGTGCAAAGCAAAATTACAAAAAGAAAATTCTGATTTTGCACAGTATAGCATAGATCATGCCTGATAGAACATCCTCCTCCTCCCCCTCTTTCTCAGTGTCGATTGCTAATCAGTTCTATGGAATCAGAAGTATTTTTTCTATACTTTTTTCAAAAACTCCAGTTTGTAATTTGACTTACATTCCTATTTCGATAAAACAATTATCTAAGTATTAAAGAAGACAGTTATCTAAGTAGTTGTTATACTTCACCACCCCCCCAACTGTTAGTTATATTATGTAGATGCTGGATGGTAGTAGATCAAGTTAGTTTAGTCACAATTTATAAAGAGCCTTTTTTATGTTGCTAGTATCTTCTCATGTTTGACACTATTCAGAAATAAACCCAGAAAACTGTAGGACTCCAGGATCCAGGCTGTGAATGACTGGTAGAACTGTTGGAGTAGAGCAGGCAGGCCGTGTTGGAAATTATTCCATCTAAAAGGTATCAGCTCCTGCCTCCTTGGCCTTAGTGACTAATGGAAATACATTCTTTTCAAATTCAAAAGCCTGTTCATTACTGCTTTTCTCTTCTGAAACACATTACCAGTTTTATAATCAAGAAGGGCTTAATTATTTTTCTTTTTCTATTGCTTATGTTTTCTTCATAAAATGACTTTTCTTCCATTTGATGGGCTGAGAAATAAGCTCCTATATTGGACTTTGTAGTCTTGCTTTTTTTATAGTGTAAATCAGCTCAGCTGGCTAAATGCCTCACTAACTGAAACTTCATAATGTAGCTGGAACTAAATTGTGCTCTGGAGCATTGAGTCTTTAAACTGGATTATTGATTTAGAAACCCATAATGGTGAAGAGGCTATAGACAGATAAGAAGCTCCCTCTCCTGATCCTTGAGCAGGTTTTTCCTCACTTCAGGGGCTCTGAGCTCACGAGCAAAATCCTAACCAAGTTTATCTTGCTAGGACAACCCATTTTAAATGCTCAGTAAAGAAAGAATAATTCTTCTCCCGCTTAACCACTAAAGAGCAACATATGTTTCTAACGTAGCTTTTTATTTTTTTTTTTATCTTTCATTTTTTTGTTGGTAAATCTCCCAGACAACAGCAGTTCTGTAGAGAGTTTAAATATGAAGGAATGGCAGGACGGGCTAAGGGCACTTCTACCCAACATTAACATCAACTTTGGTGGACTGCCCAATTCTTCTTCCCCCTCCAACGCCAACCACAGTGCACCAACGTCCAACACTGCCACCACCGACAGCCTGAGTTGGGACAGCCCTGGCAGCTGGACAGACCCAGCCATCATCACAGGTAACTTTCTCACTCCCTTCAGCTCCACTGACTGCCAACAGTTTGGTTTTTAGCACAGATTTAAAAAAAAAAACAACAGAGATCTCTTCAACATAAGTTTCTTTTCACAAAGCCACAAGTGTGGAGTGGCTTGTTTTGTTCTCAGGGGTCACACAAGTCTCGTTGAAGCTGTCGGCCTAGTTGTGTATTAATAAGAAGGCATTTGGTGCCTAGGTTGCTTGTTTTGGTTTAAGTAGGTGTTAACGTCTGGCGACATGTGTATTTTGTAGACCTCAAAGTACAAAAGGATCTGACTGACTCTTCTGATAAGGAACATACTCCACTTTTTGTTATAAAGCTCTCTATTATAAGGCTGTCTTGTTACGTATCCCTGTTAGAGGAGGAAAAGCACAATTGGGAAATGCGGTCGTGCAATGGTGTTTTGCAGCTCCACCTCTGTGACAGTGGGGGACTAAGTCTAGTTCAAGAGGAGGCATGGATTTGTGTGACGACAAGTCTTGGTTGTTGGGGGAGGATCAAAGGAACATAAGGTTTAAAACGTCTTTTTGGAAGGAGTTGAAAATTGTAATCTCTTCAGTGTTTCCTTTTGATTTTGTTTTCTAAATTTGTTTGACGACCTTCTTCTTCTTTCTGCACAAACTCACCGTTTCCTCTCTTTTTTCTTTTCTCT